ATGCGAGATCTGGGCTGAAGACCCCAAGGATCCTCATATGCAGCAAGCCAGTCAGTCTGAAGTTGACTAACTGGCCCGCCTCCAGGCCGAGGATGCTAAGATGGAAGAGGCTGAGATGAAGGAGGCTGAAGTCCAAGCTCCAGTTCAACCTGCCTCTTCTGCAGCTGGGGCTGATGTCGCGCTGGACTCCAACCTTGCTGGGAGGCCTGACCCCTCAGCTGAAGCCTAGAGAATCGGGCAATCGTCTTCAGAATCTTGCATATCAACGTGCTCTTAAAATGATAGATGTCGCTTCTGAATGTTTTTTGCCTTTGTTTTTTCTTCAGCTTGCCTCAGTGTACAAACTATTTATTTTTTGCCTTGTACGCATTTCGGCAACTGTTATTTTTCGCTTGTGGGCGGCTGCCGATATTATCTTTCTCTTTACTTAGAACACATATGTTTTGTAGCTCGTAATCCGAGCATGATTTCCTATTTATGAATTTGATATTTCCCTCATATTGCCTTGTTTTGGATTTGCATGCTTGAGTATTCGACTTAGAGGTCTCAGCTGAGGCAGTCTGCATTTGTTGTGCTTCTTCCCCCCCCAGAGATTTGAAGACTTGCTCTTCAGATTTCTGAGGTCATTTTTGTTTTCATTGTCTATTTTATATCAGTTTATGCTTTTGCTCTTGATTTTCTGTCTATCTAAAAATGAATATCTCAAACACAGGACCAACTGAAGGCAGTGTTTCAAATAATGGCTATCTGGGAAACAAGGCTCAGTTAAGGCAATATCCCAAATTTGTCCATGGACTCATTGCCTTATAGAACAAGTCTTACTGAGATTTTCACCCCAGCTGAAAGACCAGAGTTCTTTAAAAAGGTGAGTTTATCGACAATCCGAAACCTGGTGCTCTGAGGGCGAAGGTTTCGGACAGGGCCGAAGGAAACCCTTAAAGAGTAGATAGCATAAAAAAAAATGGAAGAATAAAGATTGCAAATGTTTGTGGAAAATAGTGGCTCGGAGGCCTTTCATTAATAATTCAAAATGTACTTACAAAAATTGTTCTGCTACGAAGGATTTACACATGATATTTTTTAAGCACATCAGCATTCCAGTGATTTTTCAGCTTAGTTCCATCCAACTGCCGAAGTCGGTATATTCCCGGCTGAAGCTCATCATAGATTTCATAGGGTCCTTCCCAAGCAGCTCAGAGCTTCCCATGAATTCGGCCTTTCTGTACTGCAGCAGCGTTATGAAGGACAAGGTCTCCAATTTTGAGAGGCCTTGTCTGAACTCTTCGGTTGTAAAATTTTCTAATTCTCTACTTGTATGCGGCCATTCTGACTCGGGCCGAGTCTCTTACTTCGTCGAGGAAATCGAGAGATTCCTTCATAAGTTGCTCGTTCTCGGCCAAAAAGTGGTGCACTCGCAGACTTTCAGTGCCAATTTCAACTGGGAGAACAGCTTCGGCGCCATACACCAATTCGAAGGGTGAATGGCCCGTTGCTTCTTTTTCGGTTGTCCGAAGGGACCAGAGAGTTCCTGGGAGCTCCTCCAGCCATTTGGACTTTTGATCCTCTACCCTCTTTTTGAGGGCATTCACAATCTGTTTATTTGCAGCTTCGGCTTGTCCGTTACTTTGCGGGTGGCATACCGCTGAATATGCCAGTTTGATGCCAAACTGATCTGTATACCGCTTCAGCAGCAGATGATTATCAAATTGCCTTCCATGATCAAAGACAAACACTTTCGGGATGCCGAAACGAGTGATGATATTCTGCCAGATAAATTTCCTGACAGTTTGCTCCGTAATGTTTGAGGCTGCTTCGGCCTCAACCCATTTACTGAAATAGTCGACACCGACTATCAGCCATTTTTTCTGGTATGCGGCATCCGGAAATGGGCCCAGGATATCCAACCCCCATTGGGAAAAACAGAAGTGGACTCAGCACGGGCTGAAGCTCCTGGGCTGGCCGATGGATAACTGGTGCGAATTTTTGACATTTTTCGCATTTTCTGACTAGCTCCTTGGCGTCTGAGATCATGGTGGGCCATTAGTACCCTGCCCTTAATGCTTTGTGGGCTAGGGTCCTTCCCCCAACGTGGTTCCCACAGATGCCGAGGTGGATTTCCCGAAGGATGTAATCAGCATCTGTCGGCCCCACGCACTTCAGCAACGGGGTTGAGAAGGATTTCTTCAGCAGCTCTCCCTTGAAGACAATGAACCTTGAACCGGTTCGTTTTAGCTTGGAGGCCAAAATTTTATCTTCGGGAATTTCTCCCCGAAGCTTGAAAGCTAGGATGGGATCCATCCAGCTTGGTTCCTGGTCAACGCAGCACACTTCAGGTGCTTCGTCGACACTTCTTTCTCGGCGCACTTCCACATAAACAGATCGGTTCATCTCGGTGAGAGTTGAACTAGCAAGTTTGGAGAGTGCATCGGCTTGTGCATTCTGACCCCTTGGGAACAACTGAACTTCAAAAGTCCTCAGCTTTGCAATAACCGATTTGATCTTGGTGAGGTATGATATCATCGAGGGCTCTTTGGCCTCGTAACTGCCACCAATCTGATATGCAAACTAGCTGAGAGTCTGTTTTCAGACAAACATGTTCGGCTTCCAGCGAGATGCACAATTCTAGGTCGGAAATGGCCGCCTCATATTCGGCCTCGTTGTTCGAAGCTTTGAATAAAAATTTTAGTGCATACTCGAAGGACTTGCCTTCAGGAGAGGTTATACCACCCCTGCCCCCGAACCATTCACGATGGAGGATCCATCCGTGAACACGGTCCAGGTTTTCTTTTCATCGTCTAGCATCTCCTGGTATGAGCATTCGGTCAGGAAGTCCGCTAGAGCTTGAGCCTTTATGGCCGCTCTCGGCTGGTAGCTGATGCTGAACTCTGTGAGCTTGAAAGCCCATTTGGCCAGCCTACTAGATTTCTCAACTTTGCCGAGAACCTTTTTTAGCGGCTGATCAGTCAAAACCACTATCTGATGACAATCAAAATAGGTTCTTAACTTCCGAGCAGCTACCACCACTGCATAAGCAACTTTTTCGAGTAAGGGGTAGCGAGTCTCGGCATCCGTCAGAGTGTAGCTGACGAAGTAGATCGGTTGCTGTGTTTTATTTTCTTCCCTCAGCAGCACTGCACTGATGGTGGCTGGGCTGACAGCGACGTACAAGTACAGGGACTCTCCCTCTACTGGGCTAGCAAGTGTTGGAAGTTGAGCTAGATGCTCCCAAAGCTGCTTGAAGACTTCTCTCTGCTCGTCCTCCTAAACGAGCTCTTTTGTTTTTGGGAGTTTCAGGGCTTTGAAGAAAGGTAACCCCTTATCCGAGGATCTGGAGATGAACCTCGAGAGGGCTACCATTCTTCCGGTGAGCCGCTGAACATCCCTTTTTGTTTTCGGCTCGGGAAGATCGAGCGTTGCCTGCACCTTAGCGGGATTGGCGTCAATCCCTCTTTTGCTGACCATGAACCCAAGGAATTTCCCTGACTTCACGCTAAAGACACACTTCTTCGGATTCAGTTTCATCTGGTGCTTTCTTAGAGTGGCGAAATTTTCCGCCAGGTCCCTAACAGGGTCTTCATCTTTTTTGCTTTTGACGATCCTCGGCAAAGGATAGGAATCCTTTGGACATGCCTTATTTAGGTCCGCGAAGTCAACGCACATTCTCCAGGTGCCATTTGCCTTCTGAACCATCACCACATTGGCCATCCATTCTGGATACTGGCAGGGTTCGATGAAGCCTGCATCCAGCAATTTTGTGACCTCGGCTGCGATGTCTCGGTTCTTATTTGCGGAGTAATTCCGCTTCTTTTGCTTAACTGGCCGACACGTTGGGTCGACGTTAAGTTTATGAGAGATGAGGTCTGGACTTATCCCGGGCATATCAGCTGCCGAGAAAGCAAACACATCTCGGTTGTCCCGAAGGAGTTGGATGAGCTCAACGCGGACTTTCAGATCAAGATCCAGCCCGATTGTAACGCATCTTTCGGCATCTCCTTCGGTCAACTCGACCGTTTCGGTCTGTGGGTCCAGCTCCATTGCCGTGGGGCTGGACTCTTCGTTTCTGGCCTGCTGTCTATGTCAGCAGGGGTCCCAGACTTTTTCTTCTTTGGCTGGCTCTCTGAGTCTTTCGGCTCAGATGATGAGCTAGCCTTTTCTTTTTCTGGCCCTTTTTCTTTGACCAGGTCTCCTTGAGCCGAAGCACTTAGGCCTTTCGGCTTCTTCGCGCTCGGCTGCCTGTTTTTCTCCTCCTCATCCTCGTCGTCATCTTTTGTACGACTGGTGGATGGCTTGAGGTAGTTGCACCTTCGGGCATCCTTTTGGCTGCCCTCGATCCTTTCGGGGTAGCCGGCATCCGAGACATAGATCATCAGCTGATGGTATGTCGAGACTACTCCTTGGATCTCGTGAATAATGGGTCTCCCCATGATCACGTTGTACACTAAAGGAGCATCAATGACCAGAAATTCGGTCATGACGTTCCTGGCTGCTTCATCACAGCCGATGGTGACAGGAAGTGTTACCTTCCCGTCTGGATAAGTTGAAGCCCCATTAAATCCTGATACCGGGTAGGGTACCGACGTGAGGTGCTTGGGCTTCAGCTTGATTTGGTTGTAGGCCTTTCGGAACAGAATGTTTGCTCCGTTGCCACCATCAACAAGAACCTTGCTGACGTCGTGGTTGGCCACCGTGGCGATAATCACCAACGGATCCTCTTGACGGTACGTCACCCCCCGGCAGTCGGCGGATGTGAACGTCATGTTCGGTACCGGCGAATGGGGAGGCTGAATGCTAGCATTGTTCACCTGGTGGGTCAAAGCCCTAAGGTGACGTTTGTGCTCCCTCCGAGAACATATTCCTCCCGAGATAACGTTAATTGGAGGAAATTTTCCCTCCGCATTTTTGATGTTCTTTCGGGGGAAATCGAATTCTTGCCGAGAGTCCTTTTCGGATTTCTCAGCCTCTTTTTTCTCGCAGTGATTCGCGATGTATTTTTTCAAATATCATCTCCGGACCATATCCTCGATTTGGTCCTTCAGCTGGATACATTCCTCAGTGTTGTATCCCGGTGATTTGCGGAACTCACACCACTGATTTTTATTTTTGCGCTGGTACCACTCTGGGAGCGGTCTTGGCTTCCTGTAACTCTGCTCTTCCTTTGTCACGTTGTAAATCTTAGCGCGCGGAAGGGCCAGCGGAGTGTAGGATTCATATCTCCCCTTGAAGGGAACGAATTTTTCCTTCTTCGGATCGTTGGCCGAAGATTGTTCCGAGGCTTTCGCCTTTCCTTTCGCCTTCTGGCCTTGGCCTTCAGACGATTGTTTTTGCTTCCCACCCCCAGATTGGGATTGGGATTTTGTTTTGTTCCACTCTTCGGCTCGGATGAATTTATCCGAAGCATTCAGAGCCTCCTCCAGGGTCTGCGGGGTATGCATGACCATGAAGTCCAGGAACTTCCCAGGCTGAAGGCCATTCTGCATTGCAAAAACGGCCAGCCCCTGGTCCAGCTGAGAGACGCTGGATGACTCGTTGCTGAAACAAGTCAAGTAGTCTAGGAGACTCTCGGTCTCCCCTTGTTGCAGGCCTATAAGACTTGCGGTGGTTTTCTCTCGGCGGTTTGCCATGGAAAATTTGCTCCTGAACTTGGTGGACAGGTCGTCCCACCCTGTTATAGAGCCTTCCTTTACTCCCTTGGAGATCCACGCTTGCGCGACCCCCTTGAGAGTGGTGGGGAAATATTTTCACCTGGTCGCTTCGGACCTAGGACAGAGATGCATGTGCCCCTCGTAAGAGGCAATATGGTTCTTCGGATCCGAAGTCCCATCGTATGTAATGTGCGACGGTATTTTAACCGTCGGCACATGCTCTTCCAGAATCCATTGCTCAAATGGAGAACTGGTAGGAAGCATTACGGTCTTGCCCTTATTACTGGCCGAAGGGACCGCGCTCTGCCCTCTTAGAGAGGTAGGAGTGGTTTTCGTCCCTAGTTGGGAAGTTCGGGCCTCGGCTACAGGGAACGAGAGGCGGCTATGCACACTCGGCTCCCTGCCGCCGAGTCGGTCGAGGACACTTCGGCGAACAGTCTCTGGCCGCTCTCGGCGCGCAGTTTCTGGCCGAGAGGCGGAGCTGCTGCTTTTGTGGGTTTCTGGTCGAGAGGTAGAGGATCCTTTAAAAAAATGAGGGTTCTTTTTCCTCTCCTTTTCAGTCCTCCAAGTGTCCTCTTCCCACTCTTCTAGCTCCTTGAAGGAGGGAGGTTTCTCCCCCTCATGGTCGAGCTTCCTCCGTTGATGCCTGGTATGCGGAGGAGTTCGGTCACAAGGTGGAGGCATATTTTGTGCCCTCATCGCTTCCATTAGCACCGCCAATGCTCTTGCCACCTCTTCCGAGCTAGGCCCCGTTAAAAGGGTCCTCGGCTGAGTGTGGGAGTGAGAGTGGACGGTCAAAGGTCTGCTTTGAGGCACTGATTGAGTCCTACGATCGGACTGACTTTTGTTAGACCGAGGAGGACTCGGTCTATGATGAGATTGATGAATTACGGGGGAAAGGGAATCCTCCCGGTATGCTCCTCCCGAACTGGCACCCTTGGAAGAGTTCCGGTCCGGAGAAGGTGATGGAGTAGGAGTATGAGGGTCTGAGGGCCTTTCGCCTGCTCTTTGACTCACTCGCTTGTTCTTGCGGTTCTTAGCCATTGCTACTAAGATTCTTGCAAGATGATTTTAATCGACTTAAAGATTTTTTGAAAGTCTTCCCCACAGACGGCGCCAAATTGTTTCGGGTGAAAATAATGGGACCTTGCCGAAGGTCCAGAGAAGTGGATGAAGACTAATCCGGTCCAAATGATGCTGGGCCGAAGGTTTCCTGTACAGCAAATACACGTAAACTGGCCTCGGGGGTGGATCCGAGGAAGATCCCTCCGATGCCGAAGTCAAACAATGTTTAGAGAGAAAAGCTATGCAAGAGAGTTAATGCTTGAGGCTTTAATTGTGAATGAATCATAAAGGGTGAGATTGAAGGCTTTTATACCTTAGCATGACAAAGGGAGGAGAATGACTGGGCCGGACCTAATCATGGGCTGACCATGATAGTTTGGGCCGCTTGACCTTATGATGACTTGGCTTAATGGAGGCTTGAGCCTTGACCTTGGAATATTGGATCATTTAATGACTAGGCCCAATTGGCTTAATTGGACCCAAACACTATTGATTTGTACTATTGAATTGGAGCTAAAATTTCAACTTAACCCTCATAATACAACAATGGGGCAATCATGGATCATCTACTGACCTACCTTCACCCTACAACTAGATTTGATCATCTTTGGCTTGGTTTGAACATTCTAATTCAATTCAAATTTGTTAAAATTGGTCAATAAATAATATTTCAACCTCTATCTATCCTAGGCTCAGAAAGCCTATTCATTCGACTATAAACACAATCCCAAGTGAAAAAAGTAGCTTATTATTAAAGATCTACTAATTAGAGCAATATTTTAAAGACATAATATTATACTAGTATTAGATATGATATATCGGAAAATACTATCTGTACTCCTTAATTAGTTGACATAATGAAAAATACCAAAGGTAAAGCAACTAAACAAGGGCAAAATATTTGAAAAAAATGTGTAAAGTTGGAAGCAAGGTAGTACTCGTAATAAGGACTAAGGAGTATGAAGTAGCACACATGATTAAGCCATCACTACTAAACAACATTTACACTGCTTTAACAGCTTTACTAGAAGTGACCCCTCTTATTTGTACTGTTTTTTGCGGTGGGGGGTATCCCTTTCTTCTTTGATTGCGACTTCACACGTCAGTGCACCAGTTCTCTGTCAAAATTCAATTGGGATAATCCGACGTGTATATCCCTCTTATCCCCTTTTCATCTTTTACCAGTAATCCATAGTTACTCCATGTGTTCACTGTTGAGAGGACGGACCTAATATCATCGGCTGCTCAATAAAATAAAATTAACCCTTAGCGCATAACTCCTACGGGTTTAGCAAATATATAGGATGAAAAATGTACCATTACATGTATAATAGGTCATAGGCGGTAAATATTTTGGGAGAAAATATTTAACGTATATAATGGTAAAAAGTACCACTACATGTATAATAGTACACAAAAAGTACTATTCAGATAATTTATAGTTTAATAGTATATTATACATGCATAACGGTACATTATAGAGTGAACTTTTTCCAAAACCTTGTCAAATTTACAATTTTTCCCTGTAAACATATAGGAGCTATGCACCTAGTTGCACTCATAAAATAAAAGAAAGGCAAATTTGTAAAAAAAAAACTTTTAAATACATCATTTTGCGAAAAAAAATCCTTTAAAAAGCTTTATCGTTAAAAAAACTCGAATTTAATAATTTTTTATTGATAGAAACCTAGTATCACTAATTCACTTGATTTAAACTTTAATAATTTCAACTATGTACTATTTACTTATAATAATTCCAACTAAGCTTTGTTATCTAATAATCTTAACTAGGGATCAGTTTACCTACAATAGTCCCAATGACTATTGATTAGTAATATGATAAAAGAGTTTTTTTTTTTTTTTTTGGATTTAATAGCCAAATGTCAACATGTGATTAGTCTTATATATACGAAAAATTCTCATCCACCTTCACTGAACCACCACCAAACCCTAACCCCACCCCTAAACATGCCGGAAATCGGCTGGCCACCACCTTAGCTACCGAAACTAGCTAGCCGGCCCACTACCACCCAATTTGACCTAATTTCAACCCTCAAAATAACCCACCCAACCTCCCCGACCCCAATGACGGAATAACTTGCAAGTTGTTATTGATTATTGAGACTGGCGTTGAAGAGAATTGTGGCTTTGATCTTGCGGGTTCTTCACGATGATGAACATAGAAATCGCAGCAATGACGGAAGAGGAAGAGAGAGAAAATGGAGGCTTTGAGGTACGGTCGAGGTGGACTGGGAGGGTGGTTTCGGACTTTCGGGGTCAACAATGGCTGGTAGAGGACATCCGATCGTTTCGGTGGTTAAGTGGGGTTAGTCGGCCGTTTTTCGGCAAGGTTAGGGTTCCGGCGAGGTTAAGGGGAGTGTGGCTATAATTTTAAGTTTTTTTTTTTTTACTTGTATTTTTTAAAAAAATTTAAATATTTTGGCCAATCAATCACGTGCTGACACGTATCATGGTCACTAGTTATAACTAGTTATCATTGACTTGACGTTGACTGGTTGGGACCATTGGAGACAAACTAATCCCATAGTTGAGATTATTAGATAATAAACCTTAGTTGAGATTACTAGAAATAAATCGCCTATAATTAGAGTTATTAAGTAATTTTCTTTTAACAAATTGGTCTTACACGATGATAATGATAGTTTTCGTTATGTTCTTGTAAGTTTAAGGTCACAAGTTCGAGCCTTACATGCCTTACATCTATGCTACTTGTGTGCACTTATATAATCCAGAGAGTTTGCTATATATATTTAACCGATACTCCCTATATGCCAATAATAATTAAATGATTAAATCCCAACAATATTGACTAAGGTTTAATAAAGTAGTGGGAGAGCCTAATTGCTTGTGTAAATGCTACGTAACTATGCAAGGTGATTTATTCAAAAAAATCTACTTGCCACGTGGTTCAAGGAGAATGGTTACAATTCTTACAAACCTCATCTATTATTAGTCCAATTATGATTTCAATTAGAGAATTCCTATATTAATTAATTAATGTAAATCATGCATATATATTTTTTTTTAACTCATGCAAGTTTATATGCAACTATATACGAAGTATATACATGCATAATGCTCAAAGTATCAATGATATAAACTAATGATTTATTAGGACTTGTTCTCTTCACTTAAAACAAGTATATCTAGTCTGAATTTTATAAGGTCTGATCTGAATTTTTTTGATCCGGTATGATCAGATCTGATTTAACAATTTAACTAAATTTTGACCGCATTTTAATACTAATTTGTAAAGAAAAATATTAACAAAATGGATCTTGTTAGATTCGTTTCATTATGAACTTTTTAAATATGTAATTTTTATAAAGTTTTTTAATACGCAATTAACACACTACAAAAAAAAAAAAAAAATCAATATAGCATCAACCAAAATTTGTTGTTATTCACCAAAAATCCGTTGCCAACTCTATTTAGCAACGGGCTGGAAACAAAAATTTGTTGTTGCTAAAAGGCTTGTTGCCATGGTATTTTGGATACAAGTTGCAAAGCAATTTTGTTGCAATATTGCATCAATTTAAATATAGTTTCCATGATTGTTGCTGTTTTTGGTGCATTCGTTGCCAACTTTGGCAACAGATTACCATTGGTCGTTGCTAAAATTAGCAACAAACGATTAATGTTAGTTCCTAAAATAGCAACAAATTATTAATATTGGTTCTTAAAAATAGCAACAAATTATTAAAATTGGTTGCTATCGACACTACGAGACAAAAACCCAATCCCTATTAGCAATTCGGTTCAACCCGATCTCGGTCTTTACCAATCTGAAATCTCACTTAGGTTAGGTCAACTCGGCTCGACTTTGCATGTAAGGGCTATTTGAATCCCCAGTCTCAAGAATCGCATTTGGTAGGAGTCGAACTTGTGACCTCAAAGTCACATGGTGAATCTCTTACCAACTATACCAAGTACTATTTGTTTAATTCTATGCATATAATTTATAATAAGTGAACGAAATATTAGAGACGAAATTGAAAATTTTGTCTCTAAATTAGGGACAAAATAAAAAATCTGTCTCTAAATTAGAGACGAAATTGAAATCCGTCTCTATTTGATGTCATTATAGAAACAAATAATTTTATACATTATATCAAAAAGTAGCCTACATATAAATTAACAACAATATGTATCACAACTCGTTTCCAATGGCAACAAATAAAATAATACGTTATCAATTAGCAACAATAATTTAGAATACTTGTTTCTAATGGAAACAATTCAAAAATTCATTGCCTTTGTTTGTTCCTAAATCAGTACAATCAAATACTTGTTGTCATAGTTTGTTACTACTTGGCAACAAGAGAAAAATATGATGCCATCTAGTAACAACTAGTGAGACAATTTGTTTTAAAAAGCAACAAATCAAAAACATGTAGCCATTGTTTATTAAAAAACTAAAGCATAAAATGTCGCTTTTAATTAGGCAATGAAAAAATTTAGATTTGTTGCTATTTAGCAACGTTCTAAAAATCTGTTGCCAAACTTAGTTACTAAAAAGCTTTTATTTTTGTAGTGACAATATTTAGCGATAAGTAAATGATAATCAAAAGTTCTGATCTGGTCTGATCTGAATCTTTCTGGCCTGATATGAATTTATTAAGTAATAAGTATCTGAAATAAGTTGAAGAGAACAAGTCCTAAATCGGGAATTTTTGCATCTCGCAACCAAAAAGTTGTGCGATCAAACTCCACTAAGAGGAACATTGGAGTGCGGATTCCTTTATTCTTTCCCCCGCTTTCAAAGTGCCTAGCCTGCTTATCCAGGCTAAGAGAACCAGTGAGAGGTTCCGGTCCGATAGGGCCCTTCTACTTACCAACCAAAAATAAAATAAAATTAAATATTGATTAATTAGAGTATTTTAAAAACTAATTGAGATATTAATGGTATGACAATTGCCTTGTTCTATAAGAAAGTTTGGAGTCTGTCTCACACATGA